CATTCAGGACTTGCTATTGGAATGGATGCCTTATCAGTAATCCTCAGACTGTCAGCAGCTGAGCGAGCTGGTTGGTTGTGGAATATGACTGACTGTCACACTCACGCTCCGCCTCCATCTGTTCATCTATCAAAATGGTGAATGATGTGGTGGGTCTGATGGCAGCGTGTTTGCTCTGACCGCTCCCATCAGATATCTGCCAAAGACATTTTTGGGGGAATGGGACACATGAGATGCTCTGAACCAATCAGGAAGCCTCATTTAAAAGCAGCATTTTGGTCAAAGTCCCTTCAATGGGACAGTGGCAAGTTTGAACACCTGTTTGCGTTCTTTGGATAAATGATGGTCTACAAATCCGAAGGAGGGGAAAGGAACTGATCCCTCCCATCAGGTGAACTTCATCAATTATTGATTGGATATCAGAAACAATTGATCTCTGAGTGTCTGTTTTTGTTGCTGTGAAGTAGATGGAGCCTGAGCGTGACTCTGGCTGGGGGGGTGGGGTTCTTCTTCGTGCCTCTTTGCTGAGGACTGTAGCCTCATTATTGATCATCAAAATGTATTTACCTGTCAGACCAGTAAAACCAGTAAAAGCAGTGGTCGCCACCCATTGTGTGAATGCCTCCCTTCTTTCACACCATCCACACACAGGGATTTTATTCTGAAATGACATACACCAGCAGCAGGAAGTGAAATTTCTCATTACCTGTGAAACCTTTCAAGAAAAAAAGTCATTATACATGGATACTTTCAAAATAAAAGCCAACTTGCCAAGGTGCTGAATTGTTTTTGTCCAACAGGAAACTGGCCGAGCTGAGTGTCATGTTTCACCTCGACCACCTAGTGTTATTTTTGACAGCAGCTCATTTTCAGGTGGTTTCCTGTTTTGATGGCATCTGGTTGCAGCTTTGGTGGTTTTAATTGGACCAGAAACCCTGCAGGAAGTTACCAAGAGAAAAAACTGAGACATGCTTTTGGTTCTCTAGGTTTTTCAACAGCAGCTGAAACAGTTTAAGTGGCTTTATTTGATCAGACACGATAAAGGGACTTCATAAAGTGCAGGTCGAATACATCATTGTTGCTTACTAAAATAAAGGGCCGTGCGTTCAGCATTTGTTCTGCCTCCGAGCTGGGCTGTTTTTTTTTGCGGTTGAAGCTAAACTTGATCTTCGGTTCAGTTCTTGAGTTAGTGAATGGACTTTAATCTGAAGACGGGCTCCTCTTTAACGCTGTAAGTGCCATTCAGGATAGATGTTCTCAGGATTACTTCATAGGTGTTTCCTCACATCTGTATGTCAATAACATCTGCAGGTTAAAATGCCTTCTTGAAATAAAAGATTTTTCTTAAAGCAAATGACCTGTTGTCTCCTCACACACAATTTGACACCTCTGCGTTTAGTTTTTTTTTTCTATCTGTTGACGTTACAGAAAAAAACCCCCATGAATTTATGGTGAAGAAGATGAGCGGCTTCCAAACCATAACAGCAGGTCTCACTGCAAACCCACTCCATCCTCCCTGCTCTTTCTTCTTCACCTCTCTGTGGATGGTTGACCACCATTCTCTCACATTCACATTTTCACCTCCCTCCCTCCCTTGCACACACATACTCTGTCATTCCTATGCTCTCCAGAGCATACCTCCATCTCTGCAGATGGAACCAGAAGGTTTCAAATAGTGCCAGGGCACATGTGCACGCAGCGACCTGCAGTGAAACGTCAAACAGTCAAACGTTGCTCATTCTCAAAGCTGCCTGACACAAAACATTTCCTCTTCTGACCCGTTCTCTGCTCTTAACCAGGCTTTAGCTGTCTTGGCAGAAAGACAGGATGAGGTTTAAATACCCTTAGAGTTGTTAAGCCAGATAAATAGGTTAAATGAAAGCTGTTTCAATGACTCTCATAACCAGCAATCACCTTGGGCTTTTCCCAAAGCAATGTGCAATTACCCGCAAATGAGCCACTCCAAGACAGCCCTGTAGACCATCATCGCGATCGTTTGTTTCAACAAGGCGGTAATCCAGAGCAGAGTTCTGCCAGCAGTTCACCACAGCCCTCTATAGTTGTCAGAAATAAATTTAATAAGGTTGAAATTAGACAAATTTTGAATTTCCCGCCTCCAGACGATATACCCAATAATGCACAATATTATCAAGGCATAATAGGGAGTGCCTGTGAAATAACATACAGGATTTTCTCCCATGAATGTATGACCGCATACTATAGACAGTGTGGCTTGCAGCTGTCTTTCATGGCAAAAAAATTTTCTGGCACAACTTCACCTGCTTCCAAGGTGCATGGAGAGGATGAAAGAATTCACAAAGCAGGAACTCCAGCAACACTTGAGGGAAGATGAACAGCTTTAATAATTGACCAACGCGTTTCGGCTTGTGGCCTTCATCAGGGTCATAGTAAAATATTGTAAAGAATTGCTTAAATACAAGACAGGAAACAGAAAAAAATTCAAATTAACCAGTCAAAACTTCATACATAGGTCAGCTGACATATAATAGGTATATAATAGGTTTATTGGCTAAGTCACGCCCAAGTAAATACCGAACTAGATCATTACTGATGAGGAGGAGGGGGGGACGACATAACCCCCATATGTCTGAAAATAACACATGCATAAGAAGGAGTGCTATGAATATACACAGAAGAAGGAAAAGAAAAAGAGAGAAGATAAAAAAAAGACAGTCTTTAATGGTAAAGGCACGTTTGAATTTAGAAAACAAGATTACATCATAACATGGGAACACGTTTGTTAAAAGATCCTTATTTATGTCTCTAAAATGTAAAATCTAGACTTAAAATGTGGACTTAAAGTGAGATGTCTAGAACGCTACTCCTTCATTGGTTAAAAAAAA